TGCGCTATTTGTTCAAACTCACCAAGATCTCTGCCTCTCGAAACATCAAATGCCGCAACCTCGTACTTTAGCTTATTTACACCAGTCCATGCCCTCGTTTCATCTGACACATATGCGTCAACCTCTTCTTGTCGTTGACTGGCCATCGATCGAAGAATAGGAGCTAAACCGACCCGAAGCAAAAGATCCAGTCTTACTGTCTGAGACAACGGAAGTTCGGCAAGAGTTTCACCATTGATGTTCAATATGTTGTATGAGTCACTGGAGAATAAGAGAGTAAGGAGTGTTAGAAAAATACGGAGGATTCAGTTTGGGCACAGTTAATTAAAATAACAAAGCCATATTATAAAGGAATCAGTGACATGAGTTTTCATCGCTCAAATGGCTCGTTTCAATATTCACCTAATCTCACTGTGACCATATCTAAGCGCAATAGCGTTGAAAAACACATCTGTTCCGGGTTTTTCATTTGGATTGTAGGCTGTATATGGTGGTAACGGACGTCCTGTAACAACTCCCAGATATTCTTCGCTTACGATCTTTTGATACTGTCCAATGTTCCATCGCCTAGCTTCCTGAAAATATTGTTCATCGTTCCATGTAGTATTGTAGATCGTGTACAGCCAATCACACAATCTGTTATGTTCTCTAAGAAATACAGTGTTGATAGCTAGCGTAAAGATATTTTGTGAACGGGCAAATTGTCCGCCCAATTTGAAGAGTCTTGTTGTGTCATTCCACGGAGAATAACCATTCACCATCAACAGTTTTCCGCGTTGAGAAGCGCGATCTCTTACTATATCCAATGCTGCAGCCGTCGATCCATACAAAGGACTTAAATCAAGGAATCCAGTCACACCATTTACTCCGCCCTGCGTGGGGTTTGCGGGATCAAATTGGGATCGATTTTGTCTCAGCACGCCATTATTAGGATAAGCAACGAGATCGGGACCTGCAGTCATTATGTTTGCAGGAGGGGAGCCAGGAGGATTATAGTTTGCGTCATCAAGAGGTGCA